GGGGGGGGGGGATGTGGAGGGGTAGGCGAGGGCTGCACCCCACCTCCCCACCAAGTATACGCAAAATGCTGGAGTTCTGTAAGATGGTTTTTATTGTCTAATTAAGATTCCAACCCTAGCCGCACCCAAATTCTCAGCGGCTTGGAGAGGTCACCCCAGTAGGGGCCCTGTCTCCACCAGAGCCTGGACATGGGATCTCTCTGAAGCATTTGGCCTTCTTGGTGCTTCTAACATCTCTCGTGCCTGTCCGTGCTCTGGGCTGGGCTGGCAACTTGGCTATTCCTCCAGTCGTGGCCCTGGGGCCAAGGGTGTCTGCGATAGTCCAACTGCCCATATCAGTGAGGCTTGGGGACATGGCCGTCCACGTAGAAGTTCCTGGTGATCTTGGGCAGGGTGAATTCAGCCCCTTCCAGCTCAGGTGTCAGCATGATCTGGCAGCCTAGCCTGGAGTTCTCCTGGAGGAGGGGGGCCATGTCCAGCATGTCATCCTCCCTGGGCAAGGGAGGCAGTGGTTAGTAGTGGGCACATTGGCATAGCTGGTGAGGGCCCAGAAGGGCAGAGAGAGGGCACCTCTCAGGCCAGGAAGGGGTGGGCTGAGTCCAGAAGCAGTAAGGGGGCAGTGCCCCTGCCAGCAGCTGCAGGGGGGGGAAAGCTGGGGCTGCTCCCTGCTGCGGCCCAGTGGCCCTCTAGACACTGGGAATGAAAAGGCTCAACAGCCAACCCTCCAGCTCTGAGCTGGGAGGGGGCTGCCCTGCTCACCTCTCATCAGGAGAAGGCAGAAGGTCCAGGTGGTCCTCACTCACATACACGTGGCAGGTAGAGCATGCCAGGGAAGCTTCACAGGCCCCTGGGGGGCAGCAAGTGAAAGGAGCATAGGTAAGTGGCATGATCAGGCTCATGCAAGACATAAGGGAGAAGCCCTTTGTTTCACCACATGCCCCTAATCTTTCCCTCCCAGGCCTGCATGCCCACTGTGTGCGCCTTCCACCCTGTCATCTACTCAGTTAGCTGTTCCTGAGCTGTGGATAGGTTTTGCAAAGGGACATCCAGGGTGTCCCATTTCCCAGGGACTCCCGGGCAAGCTGAGGACCAGGCTGGGTACAAGGAACTATTAATGAGTGTGGACTTGACTTCAGTGTAGCTGAGAGGGGAAAGGCCAGGAAGGTTACCAGTAGCCTTTGAATTCCCTTGCTGTGAGCCTGTCACTGTGCTGGGCAAATGTGTTCCTGCCTCCCTTTTGCTCCTGAAGGAGACTGGCTTATTCAGCACCTAGTGCATTAGGGGAAAGAGTCAGGAAATAAAGGTTGAAAGATGCAGAAGCTGGGGTTGACTGAGAACTGTGCTTGGGGATAATGTCCCTCCTGGACTAAAACCTTCCAAAGGGTTTTCACAGCCAGAACAAAATCCAAACTCCTCCACTCAGTCCTGGTGATCCTCCCACCCCTTCACTTACTCCACATCAGCCACACTGGCCCCCTTGCTCACCGCCACCACCACAGGACCTTTGCAATTGCTATATCCTTGGCCTGGAATGTTCTTCTTGCCACTCTTTCCATGGCCAGATGTTATATTCAGGAACTCAATTCAACTGCCTTCAAGTCCCCCATCTCCTGTTTCTTATCCTTCCCTCTTGTTAACTTATTAATTTCTCTATAGCATTTATCACACCCTGTCAACCTGTCCTCTCTCTGTACTTGGCACTGAGCCTAGCATGTTATAGATGCTCAAGATACATCTATTATGAGTGAATGACAGAACAGAATTCTCCTTTCTCTTCCAGACATGTCTGACAATGAGAGTTGAAATGCAAGGCAGCCAGTACCCTGACCCAGCAGAACCTCCATCTCCTGGGCAGAAACTCGGCCTTGAAACTCCAAGTAGTTCTGGGATCTCTTCCTTAACCCTGTTTCTCACCTTGTTAGCATCCTTCTCCCTTGAGATCAAGATTATCTAATATAAGTGTCCCAACTAGTCACTGCACACTGACCACGTGCCAGGTACTAAGCATTACAAATGACATCTGTTTAATCTTTCATAGCAACCCAGCAAGATGGAACTAAGTGATCCCATTTTACAGGTGAGAAAACAGAGGCCCAAAGATGCCAAGTACCTTGCTCAGGGTCACACAGCTGGCAAGAGGCAAAATATGAACAGAGGCCACTTGCCTCTAAACCTCATGTTCCAATCTGTGTCCTGGACTGCCAGCCACTAGATTCCAGAACAAAACTTGAGGTAGGCCTGCCATGACCACCTCCCAACATCTCCACCCCTCTAATGATTAAATCAGCCTCCCTACTACATTCACCCAACAAATAACCCTGTACATTTTTTTCAGACCATCGTTCTCAGTTGCTGACTATATAATTACACATTTACTCCCTATTAGGTTAAAATTGGTGTGAAATGACAGGAGCCTTACCTGTTCTGTACACTGCTGCCTGGCACACAGTAATGTTCCATGGTCAGGGAAGAGTGGCACAGGCTGAGCAGCTAAAATTGGCTGTGTTTGCATCTAACTTGCCACTTCACCTTGGGCCAGCTCTACGTAACCTGGGGCTCAATTTCCTCACCTATAAAATGAGATCGTCTCCCCTACTGCATAAAGTTGTCAGGAAGAGTCAATCAGTTAATGTGTTAACAGGCTTAAAGTAATGTCTGCTATGAATATCTTTCCTTAACAAATACTGATTTAATACCTGTTGTATCTAAATACCATGACAGGCAACAGATACGTGTGGACAAGGCAAGTTTCTGATCTCATTCTGGGGAGAGATGACAAAGAGGGAAACAAAACGGGGAGAAGTGCTATGAGGACAATAAAACATAGCAAGATGATAGACTGGGACATATGCACTTTAGGTCCACTGAGGGAGATGAGATTGTCAGGAAGATAACACTTACACTGAGACTTGACGGATGAGAAGAAACTAGAAGATCTGTTGGAAAATCACTTCAGACCCGGGGAGTAACAAATGCAAAGGCCTTGAGGCAGGAAAGAATTTGGCAGTTTGAAGAATAGCAAGAAAGTCAGTGTGGCTAGAGTTCCCAGCGGACAGGTGTTTTAGTAACCTCTAGTAAATGCTCAATAAGCCAAGGGGG